GCCTTCTTCAAGTCTTGTCTCTGTTAATATTCTGTGTCAATTACTTGTTGTTAATTATTCCTATTCTATGATTGTAAAGAGAAATGGAATATGTTGTCACTTGTGCCCAGCTCTGATGTTATCACATGGGCCACCCGATGGGCCCCTGAACGTGCAGCCAGGGCGGTTCTACTGTGCAGGCCAGGGCAGCAACACATGTCGGCGGGCACCGCAATCACAGAGGTCTGCAGCGCGGCCGGGCCCCCTGAAGTGGCGGGCCCAGTCACAACTGCGACCCCTGCGACCGCGGTAGTTCCGCCACTGCCTTTTAGTGTGTTAACAATTTTGCAGGATTTATTTTCAGTTGTATTTTTAACAGATGCATTTATTACAAAAATAATCACGGTTATTTTTTATGTGGCTTTCTTACACAAAGCTCTGTAACTAACAAAATCTAGGTCAAATATGAGATTAAAGACACGGAACAGGGAATAACTAGAAGAAAACGGGACAAACTGCAAATTCAATGCATTTTCACTATAGATGTGAAGTCCTGAATTATGCGCAGACCCCTCCAACCCTGAATATGTCACAGAATTCACTCTAATGCTACATTTCATACAAAAAGTACTCTAAACCATTACTGTGGTATACAGACACATAAAATCAAATATAGCAAACAATAGTAAATTCCTACACCCCCAACCTCCAGACTATGCGTTTCAAAAATTCCTCCATGACAGTCCACATGACTTTCCCTCCATATAAACAGAAAAAACACATTCTGTATTTGTATCCCCTATATTCATCAAATAATTGCTTGTGAGGTGTTAAAAATAAAATTGAAAGTGGTAATCCACAGGGCTGTTTACCTCTATTCTGACTCCCACTCAATCATTGTTAGAAGTTTTACTCTTTTGTGTCATTTAAAGAAAAACCTCCTGTGTACCTGTCCGTCAGCATATAAAGAACAGAGGAGAAACAGAGATAATGTTTCAGTTTTTTCTTCTTTAATGCAACGTGTGCCCTGGCTGTGCCTGGACCGAACTGGATTGTGATGCCAATAGCCTATTTTCAGAGAAGTGACATTTCCACGTCAATATGATTGAGAACATGTGTCTATTTCATAGGCAGTCACTAATGAGATGTGCCAATGGAAGGTTGCTACATGATCAATGAAGAGTATCGTAAACTTGATATTAGCTCGAAGTGCATAATAAAATGTCTGAAATTTTGTTTTTTTGAAAAGTTGTAGGATATATGAAAGAAACGAGAGACATGACTCATCCTCAACTATTCTTCATCAATTTTTCATTTGTAAAGTTAAACAGGATACTTGATAACAGTGAAGGAAAGTTGACAGCCAGACATCAGAACTTTTGTTTATTTCCAAATGTTATTTTCTTGTGGAATTTGAGTTTGTCTCCTTTAACAAGCAATATATAACCGTAACATGCAAAAAATTTGATGAGACAAGTTATTGGGTGTCATTTGCCATAGTTTAAAACAGTTCCGTGGTAACGTCAATGTCACACAGACATTGTCGAAAATAATGAAGGATCACCTTCTTAAAATGGCTACCACAAACTTTAATCTATTCCAGAGTTTTTGCAAATCTGGAATCAAGTCATCAAGTTCATTAACACAGCACATTAAAAAGTATAGAATGTATAATCTTGGTGAAGATGAGTGACAACGTCTAGAATGTAAGCTCATTGAGCAGGGCCCTCCACCTCTATGTTCCTGTACGTCCAGTTGTCTGGTTTCAATTACATGTCTGTTAGTCCACCCATTGTACAGCTCTATTGAATCTGATGGCGCTATATAAATAATAATAATAATAATAATAATAATAAAATAATAATAATAATGTGGTGTTCTTTTTTTGTAGTGAATCTTTCCCTTTTTCTCAGAGGCTTAATTCAGGGCAAAAAAAAGAATCCCAAGTAAAAGCCTATGTATTATTTTGTGTTTTAATTAAGCCAATATAAGAAGGAAATATACGGTTTAAGCAATTGGATTTGCCTGGGGAAGTTCAAGATGCTTTCAATTTAATATAAGCAGAAAATAAAAGAGCACAGGATGATGCCATGGCAAACTTAGGTGAATGAATAGACACAAGGCCGAGGTAAAGAAAGACAGACCGCAATCTATGCCTAATTCACGGTGTATAGAGTTCAAACAACCCCAATCAGCTTGTATGAGTGAATTATAAGTGCACTGCTATTATGTTAGAATTTATGACATCACTTGAGGGCTAAGAGGGGGAATGATCTTCTGTCTAAACAAAATACAAGATAAATACTTTCAGCATGTTTAAATAAGCAATTCATTATGTGAAAATGTAGACCTTTGAATAAAGCTACATTTTTTGAGAGATAAAGTTTACCTTTCACTTTGGGATTTTTTGTAACTTTCTAGCATGACCTCAGATTGTGTTACTGAATCAGGCCAAGGAATGCAGTTTTAAAAGACAGATAGCAGCAAAATGGATAAATTGAGCTAGCACTAAATCTCGAGTTTGTTTTTCCTGATTTTGCGTTAAGGTGAGGCAATGTAACTCGCTATATACGGGGCTTGTGTCATGTGCAGTAAAGGGTATGCTTTGAGAAATGCTCTTTCTTATGTTCTCTGTGATCTTGATAAATGGTTCATCATGCAGGTTATAGTTACAGCACTCTCAAAAGAACCACGGGACTCAATGCGAGCATTGTCCTGAGAGGGAAACAGAGAGACCTGTGACAGGATTATGCTACGAGGGTCATGCAAATGTCACCTGTAAAATTTATTCCCTAATAATAAGATTATTATTCCTGCCTATGAAATTGACAGTTAAGGAAGAGCCTATCTGTACAGGTTTAAAGGAACACTCCAATCACCACAACCACTACAATTCGCCAAGAGTGCCTTCGCCACCTTTCCCAACAGAAGTAGTCAAACCATTTAGATCAGCTTGACTTATTACTTGGGAGTTGGTGGGTGCCACAATCTGCATGCTTTACTTCCAATGTCTGAGCTATCCCCGGCAGTTCTAAAAGATTTTGACTGCTTACAATGGAGGGCTGCAGGAGCACTCCTGGTACCATAATCACTACTAGTGGTAAAGGTTCTTGACACACTGAGATGTCTCTCATTTTAAGGTATGTCCTCTTTCCCAAATAGTTAAACATTGACATCTGCCTTAGGTACAGTTTTAGTGCAGATATTCGCAGGTAGATATTTATACATCACAACCGGTAAAAGATTTGATGGTTTCTTGAAGTTGCAAAGCTCCATATGAAAAAGCCAGTTGACCCGTTATATACAGTAGGGCAATGTGACTGTCAACAAAACTGTATTTATAATATTTCATTAAATCTTTATTAAATACTCATATTTTAACTGTGTTAGAATTATATTGAATGTAGGAACAGCTTTATCTTATGGTAAATACCCCAGTTGACAAAACTTGACAAATGTCAGAGCTTCTGCCATCACGTTTTGTTAATTCTCCCACCCATCGCTAGTGATGGCAGTGGAAATCAGGCGGTATTTTGTTCATCACAAGACATGATCTATGGAGATCTATGGAGACTCCTCAGGTCTTGTCATAGATATCAGTGTTGTACACTTGCGCATGAGTGAAAGTACAGCACTGACATGGCTCCTGCAGCTACAAAAAAAATAGATACTGAGATGACATGCCCCCAGTAAACTTTCTTGTGTGGTGTGGACAATTAACATTTGTTCCACAATGCCAAAGCTCATCGAGTGCTTCTAAATACAACTGGCCCCTGTCTTGCAATCACAGCAGTTTAGAAAGATTACTCCACAAAGTACAAAAAATAAATAAAATGAAGCAGCGATACTAAGGCAAATTTAATCCATAAAATTCATTCATTAACCAGTCTGGTTAAAGTGCTGAACAAGTACGAAACGTGTCGGCTGCTGCAGATTTGGTGGATCCCAAGCCTGCCATATTACATATTGCTACAATGATTTTAACCTATACATGGGGAATACAGGAAAAAATCAATTTATCGATTAAATTGGCCTTAGAATCACTGCATCATTGTTTTTTTGCTGGCAGATGAAGCATCAGGAACTGAAAAAAGGACGGTGAAACCTTTGGGGGACAGCTTCAGGAAAGTAGAACTTACTTCTGGCCACCGCATTCAGAGTGGGGATGTTGCCATCTGGAGGGTTTGATAAATATACAAGGACCTGCAAAGGTGACAAAGCTGCTTTAAAGAAATTCAGAGGGACTCATGTCAAATATCATTTGATATGAAAACTCTAAGCTCGTTTGAGCAGGGCCCTCTTCAACCTATTGTTTTTGTAAGTTTTTGTAATTGTCTCATTTATTGTTAAATCTCCCCCTTTGATAATATTGTAAAGCTCTGCGGAATATGCTGGCGCTATATAAATACCAATAATAATAATAATAACAATAATTATAATATATTCTATAGAAAACAAAACTTTATTAAAAATAGATAGGTGTAGTAAACAACAAAAAACATAGGATATCAAAAACAGGTATAAACGTATAACTAAGTAGCGTGATAATATCCATAATCTAAAACAACCAGTTTAACCACACAGAAATAGAATTTTATCTTATTTGAGCTTACAATTACTATACAAAACAAAAATCTGGATATTTAGGGCAATACGTAATAACTACAATGTTTATTGTGTTTATTTTCTTTTTCTCATGTCGCAATTATATATATTTATATGAAAGTCTGAAGCTTTGTATCTTTATATGTCAAATGCTCTCCACAACATACAAAAATACCAACAAAGCGCTCTTTGGTAAACATTTTTGGGGTTATTCTCCAAATTTGGAATTGTAAAGAACTGCAAATTGTTGGCCAAAATAGCCAAGTCGGAAAAGTAGCTGAAGTGAAAAATGTCTCTAACGCGGCTATTTTGACTTAGCATTTGCAGTTAGTTATCAGTTTCCCACAAATCTCACTCTAGTACATAAACTCTAGCATAAATGAAATAAATGTAAGCTACATTATTCAGCTACTACAGCTAAGGTACGTCAACGGTACATCGAGTATAAGCAATAAATACAATGCTATTGACTAACACAGTTTTCTGCTTTATACGAGTTTCTGTTGGTTTTTCTTTGGTGTTTTGGAATTGGGATTCCCGCTGTTCACAAATGAGATGAGTGTCAGGAAGATAACAGATCCCTATCACCACCTTTCCCTCCTCCTCACAGCTCATCAACACTGATAAAAAGCCATTGATCCAGAACACCAATCAAAGCTGTGAGGGCTCCTCCTCAATTTGCTCACTTAATTGTGTATCCAAGTGATCTTCATTAAACATTACAGGGTCTGCTAAGACCTATTGATTAACGCAGAGAGGGGATAATTCACTTTGCATTATACTGTACTAGAAACCTTTAATTCTTATCCATCAACCACGGGCAGCGACTCGAGTAGTTCAGGCACAGCATGAGATCAGCACACATCAGAGGGAGAAAGCATACATGTGTGTACCTAACCTTTATTTGAAATCGTTCTGACATTAAACGTCTTCCATTTATTTGATTTTTGATTATTATTTTTTTCACATGAGTAAAGAGAAAAAAACGGAAATATATTTCACAAATCACATCAAGTTATAATCTCAAATCAACTTTTAAAGTGAAATCACAAAAACAAGGTTATTTGATTAAAAACATGGCTACTTTTATGGAAAGTGATTGGCTATTTGCATAGATAACTAGGGCTTCTACTCACCTAAATTGAAAATTCCTGCCATTTTTTTTTTTTAACAGTGTTGGCCCATGTCGTAATTGCTGGAGGAACATTACAAATATTTACAATGCCTTATGCAAATACTTGTGAACTCTGCTCTGAATGCTATGGGTTTGGGAACCTATTGCTAGGTAATCACAACACCACGTCTCTCTGCATCTTGCCCAAGGGTACCGGACATCATTTCAACCACCAATATGTCTTGTTCTATAGAAATTAATCACGTTTAATCTACAGTTAAGGGATTAGTGGAATGCTTGGGAGACTGCATCAAGCGTCACTTTTCTTTCTCTGAGGCATACGGGATCACATTATGCATTTGGTATTTTGGCCCACTGCCCCGTTGAGGGAAATTAGAAAGCTAGGACCAAGGCAATTGAATAACTAGAACCCAAAATGTGGCCTAAATGTTAGGTATTTGGTACCTGGCCCAATTCTGCTGTTTGCAAACATAGCTACTAAGTTCAAATCATGCTGAGTTGATCTAGGACTTACTTTGTTATAATTCCTTTTTGAACTTTATTAAAACACTTCATGAAAAGCACACAAGTTGAATGCATTAAATGTATAATACACTTCTTTCTTAACCAAATTTATAGTCTATCGAAATATATCTATAATGTTACAGCTAATACTCCAGAAAATAACATATAAAGAGCATGCAACAGAAAGTGAATTAAAGAAATGTAAAAAATGTGTTTTTTATTCATTGTAAATCACCAAGGTTTGCAAAGGCCAGACTGTAACTAGGGAACATTTTTTGGGGGTATGTGTAGCTCACCCACGAGTAATAGTGTTAGGTTCTTCACGCACAGTAGGAATGGTGATTACGCATTAAGAAAATACCAGTAAAGACCCTGCTTATTGTATGCAATGCTGTGTACCAGTCTCACTAATGAGAACACCATTAACCTAATCTACAGAGAGGGTAATAAAAGTTTGTTGTATTTTAAATCTTATATTGTAGTCTTACAATTAACGCATGTTTTTAATTGGTGATTGTCCCAACTCTTTCATCTGCGTGGCCGCACATTAACTAAGCAGCCACGCCGACAGAAATGTTTTATACTTACCTGGGTCACAGCAGATCGCTGCCCGATCTCCTCTCGTTCCGGTTCCCAGCAAGTGGTTCCGGTTTAAATAGGAAACTTACCTTTTCCCACAACAAAGATGGCGCCAACGTGCGTGCGACATCACGTCATAGATGCACACGCACGTTTTGGGGTCAGAGGCCAGGTACAACCTCAAGAGCAGGGCCGTCCCGTCCATTGGCCCCAGTGAGGACAAGGCTCCAGGTGGCACTTTTACAGGGGCGGCATTTTTCCACCCCTGTACACTGTAAAGTACCTGCTGTGGAGCCTGGGTCACCTCTGCATATATATATTACCGCTATATATGTATGCAGTTCTGGGCTCCCGCTACCTTGTCCTGTGTAGAGGGGTCCCAGAAATCTGATGTTTCCCTCCAGTAGCTTCATATCTGCTCCTCTTGTAACACCGCAAGAGCGTTGCCGTGGATTGCCATGGCAACGCTCAGGCATGCATTACGTGCCACAAAGAGAGTTGCCACAGCAATTTGCGGCAACGGTCACTCAGCTCGTGAGAGGAGAAGACATGAAGCTGCAGGAGGGACAGACTTCTCCACAGGACACAGCATAATGTGCCACTGGACCTCCATGGAAACTAGAGTGCCCCTCCCTTATCACAGGTAAAAGGTAGGGAGGGGGAAATACACCTAATCATACATTTTTTTTTTTTTTTTTAAAGATCACCCCTCACAGCCCCACTACACACACTACCTGCACTACACACAGACACTGCATCCACTACACACACTACATGCACTACACACAGACACTGCATCCACTACATGCACTACACACAGACACTGTATGAACTGCATACACTACAGACACTACACACAGACACTGCATCCACTGCACACACACACACTGCATCCTTTACACACATACACTGCATCCACTACATGCACTACACGCACTACACACAGACACTGTATGAACTACACACACTACATGCACTACACAGAGACACTGCATACAATACATGCACTACACAGAGACACTGCATACACTACATGCACTACACACAGACACTGTATGAACTACACACACTACATGCACTACACACACTGCATCCACTACACACAGACACTGCATCCTTTACACACAGACACTGTACTACACACTGACAAACATACATTGTACACATTGCATGCACCACACAGAGACACTGCATCCACTACATGCACTACACACATCCACTACACACACTACACACAGACACTGCATCCACTAAACTTCACACAATACACAGACACTACACACTACACACATGCCGCCACCAGAAATTTTGGGTCCCCCGTCTCCCTTTCCGCCCGGCCCGCCCACGAGTCCGCCCACAGGACTCCTACCTAGTCCGCTCACAATGATGCAGGACTGAATGTGGTGTGTATAGTGGAAGTGAATTAGAATGTGTGTAATGGATGTAGTGTGTGTATTAGATACTGTTTGTGCAGTGAATGCAGAGTGTGTGTTTGTGTAGCGGATGCAGTGTATATAGTGAACACAGAGTGTGTTTGAGTAGTGGATGTAGTGTGTGTTTGTGTAGTGGATGTAGTGTTTGTGTGTACTAGATGCAATGTGTTTAGTGGATGCAGTGTCTGTAGTGGATGTAGTGTGTGTATAAAAACGCAGTGTCTCTGTATAGTGAATGCAGAGTGTTTGAATGTGTGGTGGATGTAGTGTGTGTACTGTGAATACAGGATGTTTGTGTAGTGGATGCTGTGTGTACAGTTAATGCAGAGTGTGTGTCAGTGTAATGAATGCAGAGTGTGTGTCAGTGTAGTGGATGCAGAGTATGTGTGTGTTAGTGTAGTGAATGCAGAGTGTGTGTTAGTGTAGTGTATGCAGAGTGTGTGTTAGTGTAGCGAATACAGAGTGTGTGTGTGTGTTAGTGTAGTGTATGCAGTGTGTGTGTGTTAGTGTAGTGAATGCAGTGTGTGTTATTGTAGTGTATGCAGAGTGTGTGTGTGTTAGTGTAGTGAATGCAGAGTGTGTGTTAGTGTAGTGTATGCAGAGTGTGTGTGTGTGTTAGTGTAGTGAATGCAGAGTGTGTGTTAGTGTAGTGAATGCAGTGTGTGTGTTAGTGTAGTGAATGCAGAGTGTGTGTTTGTGTAGAGTATGCAGAGTGTGTGCTAGTGTAGTGTATGCAGAGTGTGTGTTAGTGTACTAAATGCAGTGTGTGTTAGTGTAGTGAATGCAGAGTGTGTGTTAGTGTAATGATTGCAGTGTGTGTGTTAGTGTAGTGTATGCAGAGTGTGTGTTAGTGTAGTGAATGCAGTGTGTGTGTAAGTGTAGTGAATGCAGAGTGTATGTTAGTGTAATGAATGCAGAGTGTGTTAGTGTAGTGAATGCAGAGTGTGTATAAGTGTAATGAATGCAGTGTGTGTGTCAGTGTAGTGAATGCAGAGTGCGTGTTAGTGTATTGATTGCAGTGTGTGTGTTAGTGTAATGAATGCAGAGTGTCTGTTAGTGTAATGATTGCAGAGTGTCTGTTAGTGTAATGATTGCAGTGTGTGTGTTAGTGTAATGAATGCAGAGTGTCTGTTAGTGTAATGAATGCAGAGTGTGTGTTAGTGTAATGATTGCAGTGTGTGTGTCAGTGCAGTGAATGCAGGGTGTGTGTTAGTGTAGTGAATGCAGAGTGTGTGTTAGTGTAATGATTGCAGTGTGTGTTAGTGTAATGAATGCAGTGTGTGTGTTAGTGTAGTGAATGCAGTGTGTGTTAGTGTAATGAATGCAGAGTGTGTGTAAGTGTAGTGTATACAGAGTGTGTGTTAGTGTAATGAATGCAGAGTGTCTGTTAGCGTAATGATTGCAGAGTGTCTGTTAGTGTAACGATTGCAGAGTGTATGTTAGTGTAATGATTGTAGTGTGTGTGTTAGTGTAATGAATGCAGAGTGTCTTAGTGTAATGAATGCAGAGTGTGTGTTAGTGTAATGATTGCAGTGTGTGTGTCAGTGCAGTGAATGCAGGGTGTGTGTTAGTGTAGTGAATGCAGAGTGTGTGTTAGTGTAATGATTGCAGTGTGTGTGTTAGTGTAGTGAATGCAGTGTGTGTGTTAGTGTAGTGTATGCATGCAGTATAAATGGAACATTCCAAAAATGTTATTCCCCCCTCCCTGCTTCTTACCTGGTTCAGGGAGGGGGGATATACCATGATCCCTGGTGGTCTGGTGGCATTGTGGGGGCCCCCTGCTCCCTGTACTTGCAGAGGGGGCCCAGCGGACTGCAAGTGTACTTACAAGCTCTTCCCTCTCTGTAACTCCCGCGAGCACGGCGTGCATGTGTGTCGCACGGAGCGTTGCCATGGTAACCCATGGCAATGCTCTGACGGCTGCGGGTCTCACGGGAGTTACAGAGAGGGAAGCGCTTGTAAGTACACTTGCAGTCCGCTGGGCCCCCTCTGCAAGTACAGGCAGCCGGGGGCCCGCGGCTGCACCTGCACTGCACATATATATAGCGAACATCGCTATATATATGTGCAGAGAGAAATTGTGGGGCCCTGGACTGCCAAAACAATCCGGGCTCCCCAGGACTGCCGGGCCCGTGACAACCGTCATGGTTGTCACCCCCTGATGGCGGCCCTGACTACACACAGACACTGCATACACTACAATGCATCAACTACACAGACAATGCACCCACTACACTGTATCCACACATACATTGTATCCACTACACACACACACACACACATTCTGTATCAACTATTCACCTGCATTTACTATACACACTGCATTCAATACACACACTGCATCGCCTAGATGTGCGCAAGGTTTGGGATGGGGGCAGCATTCTATCCTTTGACCCAGGCAGCACGATGTCTTGGGATAGCCCTGCTCAAGAGGGTTACTTAAACCCAAAATAGCATTTTGTCAGTGCCCTGTCGTGGTTTCCATTAGTTGGTTGTCAGAGAGTGCGTTCTTTATCTAGTTCTTTTTGGTATTTTGACTTTGGCTTGTATTTTGACTTTCCCTTATTCTGGTGTCCTTGACTTTAGGATTGCTTCCTTGTTTTGTCTCTTTCTGTGTCCCTGACCTCAGCTAGTATTTTTTACCATTCTTATTTACATGAAGTCCGGCCATTCTAAGGCCCGGTATACGTTGTCTTTGTTCATTCGTGTGTTACATATGTTGGGTCATATAGTAATCTTAACAGTGATGCAGTTAGCCTCAATTACATGCCCCCATTCTGAACCTACCAGCTCTCGTACAACCAATGACCCAGAATTCAGAGTTTAAAAAAAGCTAATAATACAATGGTCCAGTAACACCTCCAGTTAAATACGCATTTGTATACTGTGGCAACTGTATGAGTAATAATATCGTACTAGAATTG